ATATTATTTACGTATTATAGTTAGTTTAGTATTATTATTAGTACTATATATATATATATATTATTATATATATATTATAGTTGTGTTTGTGTTGTGTGTGTGTGTGTGTGTGTGTGTGTGTGTGTGTGTGTGTGTGTGTGTGTGTGTGTGTGTGTGTGTGTATGTGTATGTGTGTGTGTGTGTGTTTGTGTTTGTGTATATATGTGTGTATATGAAATGGTTTAGTATCAAACATGTGATATTAAGAGTTTTACGTTAAAGATTGTAAGCGCGGAATACAAAGACTTGCTAGATTGATTTTATTGCATATACATATTGTGCATTGCACCGTGAAAAAATAATCACACTTATGCACAAGGGATCATGTAGTCGAGCCCCATCGCATACATTGTACATTGTTATAGCGTGTTGCAGGACTACAACACGAGGTTTTGAGATGCATTAGCGTGCAGCCCTGCCATAGAATATTTTCTTTGGTATAAACGTCATACAACCACAATTTGACGCCTACATTATTGGCATAAACATATATTCGCCGGGTGAAATTCGTGCTCATCCATGCTAACGCGTACACAGATATAATTTCACTACACGTAGCTTAATGACGCTCATAGTGACAGGACGCTCATAGTGACAGGTGTTTGATATATTTATTCTGCATGAACCCTACGGATAGACCAGTCAATCCTTAACCATAGAGCCATTCAATACCCACGGTGTGCTGACAATCCTGAAGACTTTCAACTAGCCTATGTCATGCGGATCTGGTAGTCTGATACGTAAAGCCAATATTATCATGAGAGAAACTTTTCAGTGCGACGACGACACATCTAGAAATAGCCATTGAGAAATTCCGATACTTCGCAGCGAATGATGGATTTTTATACTCGATATAAATGACTGCACAGATGCGCTGGACCCTAACGTTATATTTCATAAACAAATGATCAATAGAAGATGGAATATGATAATATTCTTCTTCCAGTGCAAGAGAAACGCAACGTACCTCCATTTTGTGTGATGTATCGCACCCATGGAAGGGCCTGGTAACCACTCTTCTCAATAATTTTTAAGTACCGCACTTGTATACCAGAGGTGGTGAAATAAGGAATCTCGAATTTAACCTGGATGGGCGGCTTACCCTCATCTTCCTCTGTTAGAAATATACAATTTACAAATGAGTCAAAATGCTATCAAGCTACAAAGTACTATACATTTGTTGAGAAGCAACGATTGTATAAACAGGCAGTGACTGATAGTGTACCTTGGATCGAATTCTTCTAAAAAATATGTGTGCACCTATGGAAACGTATGCAACTACTTGTTTGGTACAAATGCAGACATTGTGTGCATCAGGAGGTAAATGACAAACAACCGCAAACTCGCATACAAGGAATTACATATGCATACAAGCACTCATGTGTGTACATATATATGTGCATATGCATGTATGTTCGAGACTAAATATACATATGTATGTGTGGAAAGATAGATCGAGCTTCACATGTCTGTAAGTATGTAGCTGACTATGAATGTATCCAAGATATATATGTATATGTATCTATTACCTATGTATGTGTGAATGAAATGCAATCGCACCACACTATCCATTAGCGTCACAAACCACAAATTGCATATCGAACTTAAGAGCACATTTACACCATCTGAACACAGGCATAACATATTATACCTATACAATTATACAACTTTTATCCTCGTACTTAAGGTTTCGAAGACTGCACACGCTGGACATGCAACTCTTTTTCTGAATCCATATCTCCAATAAAGCTCGGATTCACCTTTCAGTATGATTTGAGCGTGGTCTGATATGAAGAAATCAATGCTTGACGTAGTCTATAGTCACACATATCAGCAGTGCGTAGCATACCTTGTTCAATACTTGGTAGTCCAAAGTGGGCTCGGAGCATGTACTCCTTGCCTCCAGGGAATTGTTTAATTGTCCACTTGATAGCATTCTCTTCCGGCGCGTACTTAACCGACCCTTGTCCCGTCTACGTCGGATGAAGAGTTGAAAGACGGGAGTGTTCGATGGGAGCAGGAGGTTAATATAGAAGAGGAATTATGATTGGCGTATTATGATTATCATTTGGGAGAAACTTCATACCAATTGACATTGTAAATCATACAATAATACACTGAACGCAATTTGGGTAGAAATAATAAATTATATAAATTCTGCATTCAACTTTGCAAGTATTTGCAACTAAACAAACTCAAAGAGGTTATTATTCTGCTGTGCATACCGCCTTGTCTAGCCAAAAAATGTACACATACCACATGAGAAGTTTTGTATGGTTCAGTCGATCACGTCAATTTTGCACATATATGTACTGTACATGTGCATAGACATACGCATATGCAAAATTGTATCAAAACTATATAAAAGGGTATAAATATATATATATATATATAGTGTGTGTGTGTGTG